AGTTGTACAGCTTCAGTAATCAGCTTTTCCTAATATCAATGTGGAGTTTAAGATATTTGCCTCAGTAGGTTTTTTCGATGACAGTTGGCTGAGATTTTGGCATTTGCTTTCAAAACTGCAAGTTTAATGGTAAAATGACTTTAGCCTGAACTTGTTACCCCTTCTGGTGAAACAGTGTGATGAGTGTCACCTCTTTGTATTAGCTGCAGATGGAATTGTGGTGGTGCTTTACTACAAAAAGAGTAAAGTTAAATTTCTCTGATTTTATGAAAGGAGGTAATTCTTTCAAATTATTTAACAGTGCATATCCCCCACTAATGCCTACTCAGTGATATTTCTTTAGTGGTGCCAATGGCAATAGGGGGAAGGGAATGTGGATTCTACATTAACAGTGAGGGAAAAAAAAAACAGAAATGATAAGCAACCATAAAAAGTAACCAAGAAGCTTAAGGAGGAGTATTGAATGTATTGTTTTCATTCTTCAACATTTGTGCTTGATTTTGTTTTTTCATGCAGATTTTCTACTTTATGACCTGAATTGGAAGTTTTGTGCTAGGTGGAATGGTATCCATGTTTTGTCAAAGCACTCTGTATTGAATACCACCTTTTTTCTATTGCTCTTAGCCCCTCATGTCAAGTACATGAAGAAAGATGATGATGTGCCTTGTTCTATCACAAGCTCCCTTGAACATTTCCCTCAAGAAGAAGGTGGCAGCAAGGAAGAAGCTACCCGTCCTCCACAAAACCCTCCAACCAACCTCACAGTGGTAACTGTCGAGGGCTGCCCAACTTTTGTCATACTGGATTGGGAAAAACCAGACAACGATACTGTTACTGGTCAGTTTTTCTTTATTTACTTTATCAAAATACAATGTTTTCAGCTTATTTTTGCTTTGAATGACACTGGACCCCAAGGGAGACTTGTACTCAAGTTATTTTGTTCCATGTTACTACTGACTCCAGTGAGGATAAGAAAATGCTACCAGATTAGGACTGGAATTTTACACGGTTGTATCATTGACATCTGAGATGACAGGAAGAAGATGCATCTCAGACAGTTCTGCACGGCCTTTTTTATTCACAGAATATATTTTTGTTGCTGTTGTCATTTTGCGGCAAAATGACCAGACCAGTCTTTACCTTGATTATCTGTATGTTTTCTTGGAAGCAGAACAACCTGCTTTTCTAGAACATATTAATGAACCCCATTTGTATCACAGAAAGAAAAACATTTCCACTACAGCTGATCAACATGCAATATCTGATGATGAAAACAAGGTCCTGCTGTATTCTGATACTGTTCAATCCCTTCTTTTTTAAATGCATATTGTGATACATACCGTAAACAATGCTTTTTTTTTCTGAATCCTTAGGTAGAAATCCTCACTCTGTTCAGTTGAAATCAGTATTTGTGATAGTTAACTTACCCTGAATTTTACACCTTCTTTTCTTCCACCAAACTGTTTTATGAAAACTGAAACATTTGATATACCCCTCCACTGTTTCCAGGGAAAAAAAAAAAAAATCTTATGCAGATTATGTGATTAATGTTAATATTGCTTCCCTAAGAGAAAATTTTCTTTAATATTCCCTCCAGGTTTTATCTTAAATAAAGGCAACAGCTTTCCCATAAATACTATCTTTATTCTCTTCTTCAATTGTTATAACATAAAATGCTTAAATTGTAGGGTTTAAAGGTACTTTCATGACGCTAGTCCCCTTAAACTGCCTAAAATCAAATAATTACTCATTGAATGACTCATTCAACACCACTTTCTAAATTCAAGAGAAGGCATTCAGTCCTATTTTCTGAAAACAGTGATTGCTTCATATTGGCACCAGTATGATATTATTTGTTTAGACAGACTTAAATCAAGTTTTCAGTCATCTATTCTTATTTTTGTATTTTTCACGTTTTTTTCAGTCTTCTGATTGGAGCATCAGATTTTTCCTTTTAACAACCAGTTTCAGATAGAAAGGACTGTGGAAACAACGAAAAAAATATATATATTTTTTTGAGTCTCTCTTTTTTTTTGAGGTTACTTTGTGTAACTTTTAGCAAATACGTTGCACAAGGGTTTTTGTCACATCAGACATTGTTAAAATAGCATTTTAATGGAAAGGCCTGATGAATAATAACCACGGCTGTTATCAAGAGTGCAAAGTTGGTTTTGCACAGCCAAGTCTGTATTCTATCTCAATTAGTGTGTGTGTTGGTGTGTACTTACAGCTGGTAGGGGAAGGGATCTGAGAGTCCAGCAACAAGTGGAAAGAGTCTTCTCTGTAGACAACAAAAGGGTCTATTAGCATTGTGCATTTTTTAAAAAATTAAAACCCTGTGACTTGCCAGATTTTCTTTAAAAACTTGATTAGTCGAAAGTATCATGGAGGGGGAAGAAGGAAGGAAGAAGAAAAAAGAAAGAAAATAGAGCTTTCTAGATGTTTTGCAATGGCTCATAGGTGCATCCGTTTCTGCTTGGCCTCACAGTATGGTGCTTGCTTTCTTCCACTGCACTGGTGAGCTAAATGCTTATTGCAGATGTTCTTTAAGAACATGCTCCTCCTCTGCTCGTTGACAGCTAGCAAGGCCACACTGGCTTTTGGAGAGGGGAAAAGGGAGGAAATGGGGAAGTTGTGAATGTCTTCCTGAGGAAAGGCAACTCGGCAATATTCCCTGTGTGTTTCTCAGGAGAGGTATTGAGTTGTGGGGCCAAGGTTGCCTGCTAGGGGCTGCATCTGGGCAAGAGCATGGCCATAGGGGACTGGTGAGGGAAAGGAGGGTCATTGCTTGCTGGCAGTAATGGTGAAAGCCAAACTTTAGTGAATTGCCCTCAAAATGCACACCCTGGGGAGCTGCTTATTTTCAAATTACTGATTTCACTGACTGGCCACAGTTCAAGCTGTGTGTTTGGTTGTATCTGAGCAGGCCCAGGCTGACCTGTACCTTTCTGTGCCAGTTTCAACAACAAAGAGATTCTTGAGTGGAAATTCCAGTTTCAGCTGGTTCCTGCTGGCAGCTACTATTTTGGAGCTGTTTTCTTCTTTGGAGGCTAAAACTGCAAATTCTTTGTATGAACAGGCACACGGGCATAACCAACCAGACAGACTAGCTCGGTGCTTCTGAGGAGGCTGCAATCACTGCTAGCTAGTGCATCTCCCCATGCCTTTCTTAAAGAAAGTTAATGTAGCTACAAGTGAGGGAGAGAGTGAGGACAGGGGGACAGCATAAAATACCATGAATTTTCTTCTATGAGGATATTGCCCTGAGCATCAAATTTGTTTGAGCTCAGGACAATCCTGTGGTGAATGAGGGATGCACTAAGCTTGTTCCAGTGCTCTAGTGATACTGCAAGAGTTCACCCTACATATCAGATATTCACATTGCTGAGCTGTAAAAAATAGCTAACTTTGGTGTTCGGTGGACTTGGTATGCGTTGTATCATAAGACTAGTTACTTTTTGTAGTAGTTTGACCTTGACCAGACTATGTTAGTACTAAGTATTATCTCAGTGGCCATAGTATAACTTAATATGCGTAAATACTAGCTAAATAGAATATGTGTATCATTATATTTAGTTAAATCATATATCTATAAATGTAATGCTGAGAAATATATTATTTTGAATTGCAACATGTACTCTACAAAGAAAGGTAACTAAAGAAAATCTTACCGCAATTTTATCTAAAGTTGTGGAAGGGGAGCAATATAGAGTTTTGATAATATGGAAAATGCACGTGACACACAGATTTTCACTGGAAGGTATTGCGTATTCATATCACTGAAACTTTAAGATTGTAAATTTATAACGGTATGATGTATGTACTCTCAAGACTTTAAGTCCAAGCAAGAGTTCAAGTGTTACAAATTCTGAAAGTCTTCTTGTTTTACACAGGCAGCTGCCAGATTTTTTTTTCTTTTTTTTGCGGGGGTGGGGAGGTGGGATAGGCTCACTCTTTTTCCTAATTCAGTCAACCGATTTGCCAACAAAACATTTATTTAGCTTCCAAAACTCTGGGTACATAAATATGAAGTCTGAATGGTGCAATGTTTCTAATAAAGGCACTTCTATTTAACATCACTTTGATTTATAGATACCAACAGGAGTAAATTTCAGACTAAATATCAGATGACATTATGCTTTAGTAACAAGACAGTTAGTCTTGTTACTTAGTAACAGCAAGGTTGTAACTACAGTTTGTCATGACTAATGCATTACAGAACTTTGTGTGCATCTATCATTAATATTATTTCTCTTTCCATATTCGCAAACTGGTTAAAACCAATGCTAGAGCAATTAGGAAAGATGCATCTTAAAGACGTTTAATGAAATGAAAGCTCATCAATCAATATTTGGGGCCAGTGTTACAAAGCAGGACTGTGCAGTGATTCTTGTTTATAATGACCATTCTGATCAAAGAGGGATTTTGTAGCAGAAGGAAGACATATAGTATGAGAGGAAAAGAAAATAATACACCTTGAGAAGACATATAATGACAACAGAAGGGAGCAGGACCCTGAAGAAAGTTATTTAAATGCAATCTGGCAGATTCCTTAATTTGCCTTATGTGCACAAAGTTAACTGTTGGGCAGTTTCCTACAAAAATCTTCAAAAAAAAATCAGGTATTGTTTCAGGCTAATCACATGATAAGACATTTCTGTTTTCATCTCTGATGCCTTTTTTGTTCAAACTGTGGAGTTCTTGGGCCTTCTTGTGTTCAGTTTTGTGTCTGATCTACCTTTGAACAGAGGCAGTATGTTGAGTTTCTCTTTTCTATAATTGTGTTATGAGGAAAGATGAGGGGCTAGGCATGCAGAATCTGGAAATGTATATCTAAGGAGTTTTCCTGACCATTTAAAAATATTAATGTCTCCAGACATGTTCATACAAGATGTTCATATGACGTCTTAAACAGCAGGAGAGGAAATCAGATAAAAACAGAGAGAGCAGTGAAGATGATGCTGAAATGGGAGAATTTATTTAAGCAAGTTTCTCATTCCTATAATTTTCCAGAGTATGAAGTTGTGTCAACTGAAAATGGAGCAAGTGATGGTGAAAAGGAGCAATCAATTATCACTACAAATCAGACCCATTCCACTGTGGAAAACCTAAAACCTGACACAAGGTAATTTAATACAAATTTTGAAAGTTAATCCGACAGATTCAGAATTCAGCTGTCTAACTTAAAATAGAATGATGCATATAAATCAATTTTGTTTTTAGTCTTATTCTGATAGGAAAAAGGTATGCTTTGTTTTTGCTTTTAAGCCAGCATATAAGAACACACATTCCACATCTCAAGAATCTTCAGGAAATTTCCAAGAGTATATATGATCTCATTAGATTGCAAGTGGCATGTTTTGTCAGAAAGATTAATAACTAAATGTAAGAAAGTGCACTGCTTTTTCTCAAAAATATCTCTTAAAGAATTTAGTAGATGAAAAACTAAAAGCATTTTGCTGAAGTTGCTATAAGCCCTATAGAATTCACCAGTCCTTATCTAGGATATATTTTTAACCATCCTATGCAAACTGATAGCAAGATGGCATTAGGTGAAAGATAAATATTTTTTCAAAATTGAAAATATGTTTTAAATCAAACTATCTTCATATCAGTTCTCTGATCATTGTTAAAATATTGTACTTGAGGATAAGTAGAAACGATGCGATTCTTAACAAGCAACTTTCTCCAGCTAATTGCTTAAGACACCCTATTGACTACATCACCCTCCAAGGACTATTTATGTATGTGAACAGTGTGAACCTTCTTCACTCTCTAGTGTGCCTAAATATCTACTTCTCTGTTGCCAGCTATGTACAGCCAGTGTTCATAATAATTACAATTGCACATAAATTGTACATAAATACTGTTTAAAAAAAAAAACAAAACAAAACACTGAGAGACATTCTGAGAGGGAGTCATGGATACTGTGTGTTTCAGATATCTTGGTATTTGATCAAAATTGATAAAATGTTAGTATAACCTCTATTGCGTGGGTGCCAGACAATCAAGTTAAATAGAGAACTTGCATTTATTTGTTTCCAGAAAAGTTTTTATTTTTCCAGTGGTAAGTACAAGTAATCCTCATGTTTCAACAATGAGTGTGTCATTGGAGATACTTTGGATGTATTTGCTTTCTCAGAAAGATGCACTTATTAATAAAGAAAAACATTTATCCCACCAAAGCAAGTAGTGAAGAGTGCAAACTTTAGGCTAAGTTTTTGCAGTTATTTGGTAGTTGACCCAGCAGTTGCCAGCTCTTTTCTCAGTTACTCCTAAGATTGTTGCTTATACTTTTATTTGAGTTCTTGGTTTGACCTCTCCAGAAATGAAATTGGGAGAAAGAAATATTAATTTCATACACTGGATCAGGATTTATGTGTACAGTTGTCTGTGGTTTAAGGATACTCACCAGAACAGGCATAGGCTCCTAGACTATTTATATGGATGGTCATTCATATACTAGAAATGCAAGTTAGGCCTCTGCCAGATATTTGGCCTTTTTATTGCATTATGAAAAGGATACATTTGTCCTGTATATGGGACTTTCAGTGTCTTGTAATAGATGGCAAATTAAAAATGTGTCAGTGAAATACGGCTGGTAGCATACATTTTGGGGAGTTAACCCAGATAAGCATTATCATTGAGTTAATTTTGAAAAAAAAAAAAAAAAAGAAAAGAAAAAAAGAAAGAAAGAAGGAAAGAAAGAAAGAAGCAGAAAAAAGAATCTTATCAAGATTAATTCTGTCATTTCCATGGTAAGATGCAGAAAAGAGAAGAAAGCATTTGTCCTGCATTTCATTGTTGCTTATTGGTTGCATCAGAATGTTGTTGAATGCTTTGGTTTTGCTTTTTTTTTCTGTAAGCTTTTTTTTTTCTCTGAGCTTTGGTAACTGGATTTTTCCATTTCAATTAAACTGCCATCTTTATTAATAATTTTGTTTAATATTTTTTAGTCATTTCTGTTATGATCATTATTAAATTGGAAACAGAAAACTCTGTATTGAGCCTAGCTGAGTTTATATGTTTTGTTGTGTGTTCAGCCTCCTTCCCATAGGGAAGGATGAAGAACTATTGCAGAAAGTGGCAGGGTAGGGGACTGGAAAAGAAAGACTCAGTAGATTTGTGATACCCAAAAATAACTTCTCAGGGAAATCCAGAATTCAAAAAGTGGATCAGTATTGTCGCATACTGAATAAAGAGTAAAAGTCTGGTATTTTCTAAAGGCATGTGGCTTGTAACACGGTGAACTGCAGCTGCATTTTTCTGCTTTGTTAAGAGATAGTTAGGGGATGTTAGCAGTAGAACTTGAGACAAAGCATCATTTTGCCCCCCCCCCCATCAGTTGATGAGCCTTAGACAGAAAAATAATATCATTTGAAGGACAAAAACAGGTGCTGCTAAGCTTGTCAGGTCATTCTTTTGTGTTTTTTTTATAATATATATTAAAATATATTTTATAAGTAATTTTTTATAAATTTGTTTTATGTACTGCTCTGAAATAAATCAGTTGCACCTCTACAAGTACTGTATTTTATTAACGAGACTCTCTCCTGTTACACAGTAAAGTTGGTCATATCACATGTGGTGACAGAAATAGAATAAATTGTTTAAGTGTAGAAAAGACATAGAAGGAAGATAAATCCCTGGATACTGAGGTCCAGATGACCCAAATGAAATAAATAAATTTTTACACTCCTGTAGGGTAAAAGCAAGCAGGCCCATTGGAAAGGACATAAGGCAGGCAGTAGCTATGCAGAAGCAGTAAAATGTTTTGTAACTTCAATTTGGAATGATTCTACCCATCCTATGAGAGGATTTGGGGTTTCAGTGAACAAGAACAGATCGAAGACTGGAGAAAAACTATCTTCTGGAGTGTGAACTTGGCTACAACAAACCAAATTTCAGATCAGAGCTGCCTCTAACAGAGACTGACTTGAAGGGACAACTTTTCACTTGATGGGGTGATGGTTTTAACAACCCTCCCTTTACCCCAAGCGAAAGACAAAGTTTTTTTGGATTCATGAGGCCATCAACTCCAAATTGAAAACATCCGATGAGTACAGTTCATAGCTGTGCATGTTCCTTCTGATTATACAGGATGTAAAGGATGCAGAGTCCTTCTCAGAGTGGCTGCATTCAATTAAACTTCCATTCCAAGATGTGGATTTCTTAATTTCTGGGACCTCTTGAGAGCTTTGGCAGAAGCACAAGAAATTGTTACTATTTGAGTCCATGCCTGTTGAAGCACTAAATTCAAGTTAAAGAAGAAAGTGAAGACAGTTGGCATCACACAGGGTCAGCGTAGTGATGGATGGCATACATCAACAGCAAAGATCTCCTCTCTATCAGGTGCTGATTGCTCACCAGAATTAAAAATGGATCTGGGGACACAGCTGACTGAAAATAAGAGGAGAAGAGACAATGAAATGCAGCTCAGTTAGTTTATTAAGAGTCTCTGAAATGTCTGCAAATTCATGAAGCAATACATTAAATTTGAGAAGCAGTTTCCATAACTGGCCTGAAACGAAAGGACTGTAGAGGAGGTGCAGCTGGAAAAGAAACTTGGAAGAGAAAAAGAAATCCATCTTAAACACGACCAACATTTACAGAAGTATCAGCAAGTATATGGAAAGAGAGAGGCTCAGCAGCAGTGGATTAGCTGAGGAAGAACCTCTTGGCCCTAAAACACTCCAGGGAAGCTGAGAAGCTAAATTTCAGACTCTAGCTTTTCCAGCTTTTACTGAAGCTATCAGTGATTCCATGCAAATCCCATGTGCTGCTGTGAAGTTTCAGGGATTCCAGAACTGAAGACAGCTCATGACGGATCTAAAATGGACCGATCTAAACAAAGACTTATAAAAAAGGATAAAAATGATTTTAGATACAGTATTTCAGTCTCCATGGGTAAATTTAAAGCAGAAGAAGCCTACAGCAGCAAGACAGTTCAAGGCAGGCAGCCTTCACTGGATGTATAGTCATGAGGAAGAGTACACGGCAAAAGTAGTCTGCAGTCCTGTTGTCCAAGGCCTTTTGTCCTGTTGAGATAAATCCAAGAGGTTATCTTAGTGCCTACTTCAGCAGCTGGAGAGTTATTTCCCCAGATTCTGCAGGGACGAAGCAAGACAGACAACTCTTCAGTGGGACAGGGGCAAAAGAAGCAGAAAGGAAAAGTGGAGTGTATCATAGCCTGACAGGTCATACTGGGTTTTTGTGGGGGATTTTTTGCTTGTTTGTTTTTGTTTTGTTTTAGGTTTTTTTTGCTTGTTTGTTTAAGCTCTTCAAAATAGATCACATCATTGTTACATCCCTAAAAAGCTTTGCAGTAAGCCAGACACCGCCTTAAAGGTTAGGAGCTAAGGGACAGACTTTGAAGATCAAAATGGCAGGAGTGGCCGACACTCCCGAGGGCTGCGCTGCCATTCAGAGAGACCTAGGCAGGATGGAGAGTTGGGCAGAGAGGACCTCATGAGGTTCAACAAGGACAAGTGCAGGGTCCTGCACCTGGGGAGGAATAACCCCAGGCACCAGTACAGATTAGGGGTTGAGCTGCTGGAAAGCAGCGCCATGGAGAGGGATTTGGGAGTCCTGGTTGACAACAGGTTAACCATGAGGCAGCAATGTGCCCTTGTGGCCAAGAAGGCCAATGGGATCCTGGGCTGCATCAGGAGGAGCGTTGCCAGCAGGTCCAGGGAGGGGATCCTGATCCTCTACTCCGCCCTGGTGAGGCTGCACCTGGAGTATTGGGTGCAGTTCTGGGCTTCCCAGTGCAAGAAGGACATTGAGCTTCTCGAGAGGGTCCAGCAGAGAGCCATGAAGATGATTAAGGGACCATAGCATCTATCTTATGAGGAAAGACTAACTGAGTTGGGCCTGTTTAGTCTGGAGAAGAGAAGGCTAAGAGGAGATTTGATCAACATGTTCAAGCACCTGAGGGGTGACTGTAAGGAGGATGGGGCCAGGCTCTTCTCTGCGGTGGCTGGTGACAGAACGAGGGGTAATGGGTGTAAGTTGAAACACAGGAAGTTCCACCTTCATATGAGGAAGAACTTCTTTACTGTGAGGGTGGCAGAGCCCTGGAACAGGCTGCCCAGAGAGGCTGTGGAGTCTCCTTCTCTGGAGATC